AAAAAAAAAAAAAAAAAAAAAAAAAAAAAGGAAAAAGGTAATAAATAAACAAAAAAGAAAAAAGACTAATCAACGCATTTTAGTCGAACTTTATATATTTTTGATTTAATGATTCAAACAAAGGGGTGTACACACACAATCAATCTTTCCAAACCCTTTCAATCTGAATATAAGAAACTGACCTTTGGGCATTAATCCATGCTTGCTTGTCATCGGTGTTGAATTCATCTTCAAGGCCAGAATTCTCTTGGTTTTCTTCCTCTCTATTTAATTCTTCAAGAAGGCTGTCCCCGATGCCTCCTGGCCCACTAGGATTCCCGCCAGCCCCATCTGTGAGCATAGTGACGATGCATTTAATAGTATCCTTCCTTCCCCTCAAATATTCCCTGATTGGCTCACCAACAGCTTCAAGGAACACGCCAGCTGGGTCTATTGTTCGAAGGGCTTTAATAGTTGAAACATATTGGTGCAGTATATCATTGGTGGACGCACCAGCAGTCAACAAGCGGTATTTCAAAGCAGCTATGAAAGAATCAACAAGCTTCGAATGCTGCCCGGTATATTCAAGGCATTGTTTCAAGTCTTCAATAGCAGGCGAACTGAAATATAAAGAAAATAATAGCCTACTCTTAAAAAGATGTGAAAAACATTCTTCCATGATATGAAAACAGCTTTCTTTCCTTTGTACTGATTCAGAAAATTCTACAAACACCTAAATGAAAATGACTGACTGACTGACATAGCCATTAACCATGCAGTACCTGTTATTCACTGAATGAGGAATGGACGAGCGCAAAAAAGGAAAGAAAGTTAAATTCTACAGGATTAGTTTTTAGTAAAATCAAGCAACAGCAAAAAGAAAATAAATCAGAGAAGGCTCACGTAGTCAAGTGGTATAATATGTGCATGACTAGCCTAGAGAAAATATCAGAAGTACTGGTAGCAAAATAATTAATCATTCGGTGTAGAATTAGTGAGACTAAATGTGGACCCTGTGTGCCGCCTCAACTCAAGCATCCATGTCACAATAGCATGTGTACCAGATGCCTCCAGAAAATTACGCAATACTAAATTAGCATTTTGACAGGAACGAAAAAAAGGTGTGAATAGATTAACAGGGTTGGTAATATCCGTCTTTGGACCTGATTCAAATTTACCTGTCAGGATAATCCACAATAATTTCAAAGAGCTTTGCTATTCTCAGATCTTGTAATGTTTCATAAGCAAAATATTCCAAGCGCAACTGCCACCGTACGAGTCCCTCAGAAGGAATGTCAGCTCCATAGCATCTAAAAGATGGACTAGATGCCAATGGAGATTTCAGGTCAGAAGAAGATCTTTCACAACTTTTAGAATCACCCAGGTACGCGAGAAGGGCATGTAAGAATTGAAGCGGCACAGCCTGCAAAATACAACTATCTGTTTCAGATGTTATACATCCAAACATGATTGTGTCTATGACACCACAACAAATAGCAGGGACTAGCACTCACACGAAAATAGTAGAATTTTAATGATAATAAATGGATGGAGATGCCAAGATACTCCTTTGATTCTAAAGAGAAATATAAAAAAACACATTACCTGTATCCACTGTTTAATAGACTCTAACACTGAGAACCTAAACTCATCACCGGCTAGCTCATGTACTTTGGCCTGTCAGGACATCAAGAATTGCAGAAGGAATCACAGTTATTTATTGAATAAAACTAAAGGGAACAAATACATAAGACATGGTATCTTGAATTTCGATTGAGATGATCATTTAAAAGTCCGAAATGATATATATTAGAAAATATCAGAAAAAAAAAAAAAAAAAAAAAAAAAAAAAAAAAAAAAAAGAGAAACACCAGTTATCTTAAATAAATGAAACTATCTTAAACATGAAGCAGTGGATCTTGCTGATTAACAGCACTTTAAACATATACAACCTTCAACAACAGAAACATGGCAGATGCATAGGCATCCTCAGCCATTGAGGTAAACCCAAGACTCCTAAGATCACGGACGACCTTTCCTATGTTTCTTATCAAGTTGCTCCCAAGGATGGTTCTGTGGGTATGAGTTCCATCAATATCCATTTGCCCTAGGTCCATTCCATCATCAATATGCAACTTGTTATCTTGCTCGCAGCCTGTGACCGTCATCGCACTTAACTCCTCTAACTGTCTCTTAAAGTACCATTGAAGTATATCTAAGCATTTTAAGAAACAGAAATTGATTTAATTAAGAAGTTAACACATGCAGGAATACCATGAGAATAAGGGCTTCCTTTGCCTCCCATTAACCTCATGACTTAGCAAATTAATAAGGTAAATACATGCCAACAGAAAGAAAACAGAGCCACAAAATGACACTATTATAACTTCCTCCATAAATGACAATTTCGATAAAGATGTCATCATTGAATTCATCAGTAATGTGATGCTACGTAATGAGCAAGAAGTACCCCTTGAAGGGGATCATTGAATTCATCAATAAAAAACCTCTAGATATGTACACTTGATATCATTATCGCTTGTCATTACGTCCAAAATTTTCCTGAAAGCAATGGTACTTAGCATTGATCAAGCAATGTGAAATTACATGACTACTTGCAAGCCCTAAAAATATAGGTATTTTAATGGACCTCAACGCGGGGAACTACTTAAAAATGAAGCATGTGAAAATGAGATGCATCCATAAGAAACTAGTACCTGAAAAATGTCGAGGTAGACTGACCATAAGGACTGAAGATATTGTTAATTGATACTTGGAGAATAAATTTTTCCGTTCTGCTTCTGGATACACTTGTTTCTCTGGCTTAATACCTAAGCAAATATTCAAAGCATGAACCAACATTGAGAGGCACTTCTCCTGGTATTGTTTTTCAGATGATATCTCTTCCAAGGCCTTATGCAGTGTATTCAGCAACTCAGCTTGTTGATCCTGTGTCCAGTTCTTTCAAATCAGAATTATGCAGTGCATATCTCATATTCATCAATCTTAACAGTCTGGAAAGCCAAGTACTGAAAATGTTTTTATCCATAGCCATCCATTGCACCCAAAGCTACTATTACCAGTAAGTTACGTACACAATGATTTTACAAACTCGTAAATTAGTTTGTTAATTAACTGAAAAATGGACACATAAGGCATATTGTCAAACAAACAATATACTTTGTTATTAAGATCCTTGGTCCCATCATGGCATCATCATTAACTATCTCCTTCATTACTCTTCTTATATGACTCGTGTACATAAGAGGGAAAAGCTCTTTATTATTTCAATATTTTAGGAACAGCTACAAGCAATAGAAAGAATTTTCCTTCATAGGTATGAAATGAAGATAATCTCAATCATCATCAACTCATTATAGTATGTGTTCCGTTCCACCCAACAAGACTAATTAACATATGTCTACTTATTCTTGCACCTAAGATGAAACTGGCATTTAAATCTCGATGTCGTATCATCACCATCACACTTCGCAACAAGAAATCTGGTGATCTGTCACCAACAATGCAATTTAGTTCAATTTGTTTGGGTAGAGATGTGAACATCAGCAACATATAAAGTACATATCATCACATTACATGATTCCTATTCTTTAAACTTAGAAAATGCCACCACAGCTACAATGCAAACAAAACTATTTAACGTGTAATGGTGAGCAGGGGACATTTCAAGTCTTTTACTCATCTATCTTCGTACTGATAAATTAAAATGGTGATCAAATATTCACTGAGCAACTAGGAAAACAAATGTGTGCTAATACATCATATGATTACATACCGAGTCTTCCATATCCAGAACTGCAAAGTCGTTGTATCCATCAAAATGCTTCCAAAACCTTGATGCCGCATTTTTCTCAAATATTTCCTAGTGCAACACAAATATCGTGATTTATGTAGATACTTTATATTGAAAGGATATATTGTGAAGCATCGACCACCCTCAAAAGTGGTAAAATTTTACCTACTAATTCTAGGAGCTAGCTTAATATCATCGGTGATTTTAACCTTATCGTTTTTAAATAAAAATTAGTAGACGAAGGTAGAATTTGACATTTCAAACCCATAACGTCATAATTGGATTTGGACAAAGGCAAGATTTTGATCTCAAAAACATACAAAAGCAGAGGAAAGTACAGAATTCTCAAAAACAAACAAATTGATTTATCAAAAGTAAACTCATACTATACTCTCTCTTTTCCGTTCTAAATGAATATAAGTTCCTCCAACTCCCCTACCCAAAAAAAATCAATAACAAACGTGGTATTTGCGATATATTACAAAACTATTTTAACTTCAACTCAGTATGACTATAGATACAACATGCCCCCTTCCCATCAGTAAAAAACTGCCTCCCCTGTCAAATTGACAGCCATATCAATTATCAAACATAGCATTTCAACTCTACTCCGGAATACAGAAATGGAAAATGCTGAAATCCATGTAACGTGGAACAACAAACCAAGAAAAATATGAAAAATGAAGTAGTGGAATATAAACAACAACAACATACCCAGTATATTCCCAACAAGTTGGGGCCTGGGGGTTAGTTGTACGCAGGCCTTAAATTACAAGGAGGCTGTTTCCGTAGTGACCCAAGGTGCATTGTGCCGTTTGATATATTTTTTTTCTAGAAACTTCACTAATAGAAGAAGCACTAGAATTTAATTGAGTCATTTTGATCTAGTCTATTATTAACACTATGTCAGGAGAATTGTCATCAATGACTCTTCCAGCATCAATTGAAAAATGAAGTAGTGGAATATAAACAACAACAACAACATACCCAGTATATTCCCAACAAGTTGGGGCCTGGGGGTTAGTTGTACGCAGACCTTAAATTACAAGGAGGCTGTTTCCGTAGCGACCCAAGGTGCATTGTGCCGTTTGATATATTTTTTTTCTAGAAACTTCACTAATAGAAGAAGCACTAGAATTTAATTGAGTCCTTTTGATCTAGTCTATTATTAGCACTATGTCAGGAAAATTGTCAACAATGACTCTTCCAGCATTGGACAAAGTAGTGGAATATAACTGAATCGAAAAAAATGAAAAGGACTGAAATCCCTTTCTAGTGAACTTGTACCTCCACGGAGCAAAGAAACTGCTCCACGATTAATGATTGGAGCCCCTGAACACAGAGATTCTTCAGGTGCGACAAAAAGTCGGGAGCTAACCACAAATCATCGTCGCCTCCGAGTAGCGCTTCTGTAGCCAGGCAAAACGCATCCCAGCTATCCGCCATTTTTCCGACTGAGTTCGCACTTAACGAGTCCAGAATGGCCAGATTACACATCGGCGAACCCTCCATGGCAGCCATTTTTTCAGAAAAGTAAACGAAAACGAGCTCCAAGAAAAATAAAGGAGAGAGCTTTTGGATCGCACTGTAAAGCAAAACCCTAACTCGGACGATACACAACAGAATAATCACTTCGAATCGAGATATAATTAAGATGGCGATTAGGACAAAATGACAGATTGAGCTTGTGGAAAGAGTGTCTTGTACTGAGTGTGGTTTTCCCAGTATTTATTTGCCGCCATTTTGTTAACCTTTCAAGTTTCAACAGCGAGTTACAGAGCAGAGCAGCGTGAAAGAACGAAGTTTCAAGGCCCGACACGAGAACGTTCTGGGCCGGGTCGTGATGTGAAGTTTGATGACTTATCAAAGCCCAAATAAACAAGTGTGTTGCTATTTGTTGGAAAGACAACTGTTTACATTAAGGAACTTCCATGTTATTTAGTCAAATTGCCTTCTGATTATATGTTTCCACCTCTACTCCTTTTTGTAGTCTAAAATTCTTCTAATAACCGTTTTCCCTCTATTTATTATTAAGTTGCGGTTTATATTTTTTTTATCTTTATTAATTTTCTCTATTGTATCTTATTTATTTCCATCTATTTTCTCTCTCTTATTTACTCTCTTTTTCTTTTCTCTTTTTGCTTCTTCTCGCATTTCGTTTTCTTCCCGTCTCTTTACTATCTGTCTTATTTCATTTTTTTATCTCGCCTATTTTATCTTCTCTACTCGAAAATCATGTCGACTACACCCAAAATAGATTTATTATTTAATAAAAAAGAAGAACAGAGAAAAAAACGAAGTGTGAGAAGGAAGAGAGAGAAGAAAAAAGAGAAAGAGAGAGAAAGAAAAGAGTTATTATTTTGAATTTTGATTAATGTAACTTCCTATTCAAGCATTTTTTAAATTCATCATATTATGTAGCTTTTGTAGAATTGTTTATTATAAATAGGGCAGTTATAAAATTTTCCATTTTTGGAATTCATCATATTATGTAGCTTTTGTAGAATTGTTTATTATAAATGGGGCAGTTATAAAATTTTTCTCTATTTGTTGCCTTAAATTACTACTTGTCCTAAAATACATATAATGATAATTGAAATTATATTTTTGTCCTCTGAATTACTAAAAACCGCTCCCCTATTACTACATACCGTCCCTTCAAAAGAAAGTTTTACCCTATGTCCCCCCTATTATACTACTTATCGTGGTGGTCGACTGGTCAAACCGGCCGACTGGCGCTGGTCGACCCGCGACCGCGGCCGGTCAAGGTCCAGTCGGTCGGACTTTTCGACCATGTCTATGTTGGCCGCCTTAGGCCGCCGGCCAGACCATACCTAGCCGAAACGTCCGGTCGGCCGAACCTTGACCAGGCCAGCCGCCTTTTTTTTACGTTTTTTTAATTAAAAAATTTTAAATATTATAAAATATACTTTAAAAATTTCATATAGATTAATATATATTTTTTAATAAATGAAAAAAATAAATAATTAAAATATATTTAGTAGATATTTATTTTTTCGCGGTTTCTATTTTTTATATAAAAAAATTATTAAATATATATATATATTAAATTAATATATAATAGTGAATGGATTTCACTCGGGCTCCTTCAGCTCGAACAGCCTCCGTACCTACAACGACGGGAGGGGTCCCGGCGTCGGGCCTCTGATGCCTAAGTCAGTACTCGTAAATGAGAGTGTAGTAATGAATGAATAGAGAATGGGTTAATGAGATACCTTAGCTCTCTTTTATTGGTAGAGTGTACCTTTTGAGCCCAAGTTGGGCTTGACTCACACCATTATGTTATATGTCTTAGCCCATTTGTAGATTTAATCTCCAATATTTCTTCTTATCCATTAAAGCCGGTCTATTATAATATCCTATATCATCTAGTCCCCCCTACTCTGGTCGAGTAAGCATAACTCGATCCAAGAGTAAAATGTCTCTTCGGGTTGTTTCCTTTAACTTGACACGGAGATTATAATTTGAACAAATCCTCGACCACCAAATAGTCACCAAACCTTCAAATGGCCATCGAGACCCAAATGAACACCGAATGACCTTTAAGGTCGAAAACCGAAATACCTGCATCTGAGGTCGAGAACCGAGGGACCGCCGATGAGGTCGAAAATCGAGTGACCGTCGATGAGGTTGAAAGCTGAAAACCGACTGACCACTGAGGTCGAAAACCTAGTGACCGCCGATGAGGTCGAAAATTGAGAACCAACAACTGAATGACCACTGGGGTCGAAAATCGAGTGACCGCCGATGATGTCAAATATCGAATGACCATTGAAGCCGAAAACTGAGTGACCGCCGATGAGGTCGAAAACCAAAAACCAACAACTGAATGACCACTGAGGTCGAAAATCGAGTGACCCGGATGAGGTCGAAAACTGAAAACCGAAAACCAAATGACCACTGAGGTCTAAAACTGAAAACCGAGATACCAATGAGGTCGAAAACTAAAACCGAGAGACCGCTGAGGTTGAAGACCGAAAACTGAATGACCACTCCCCAATGTCTTGAATTTGAAAATTTGAACTTGCATCTGCGGTTTTTCGATCACCATGTTCGAGCTCTCTTGGACCACCTCGTCCTATTGCCCCTCGGTTCAAAATTTAAAATTCAACCATGTTATTTATCCTCTCGAAAACTAAATGTCCTGACGCCACCATCATTTCCAAAAACTGAATTCGACAAAATCAAATCAAATTAAGATTATCGACCTGAATAATCTGACTCTGTGAAATGCCCCAAGTGAACTCCCTCGACCTGCACTGAGGTCGAAAAATGAATTCGACAAGACCAAAATCAAATAATGATCTTTGACCTGCCACCGAGGTCTGCAAATAAACTCCCTGAGTTGCTCGAAATGAACCTCTTCGACCTACCACTGAGGTCGAAAAGTAAATTCGACAAGACCAAAATCAAATAAAGATCCTCGACCTGCCACTGAGGTCTGCAATTAAACTCCTTGAGTTGCTCGAAATGAACTTCCTCGACCTACCACTGAGGTCGAAAAATAAATTCGACTAAACCAAAATCAAATTAAGATCTTCGACCTGCCACTGAGGTCTGCAAATAAACCTCCTCGACCTGCCATTGAGGTCGAAAAATAAATTTGAAAAAATCAAAATGAAATAAAGATCCTCGAACTGCCACCGAGGTCTGCAAATAAACTCTCTGAGTTGCTCGAAATGAACTTCCTCGACCTGCCACTTAACTCTGTTGGGCTAAAGGTCGCTGAATCTGGCGAATGCGACTGACCCTGGGTGCGCCTCGACAAGGAGAATTCAACGGTTCCGGCGGTTTGAAGTGAGTCGCCGGCACTCACTGGAAAAATAGAGGAGAAGACCGGTGGTTGACCAAAAATATCTTAGATCCAAAAACTTCGACCGTCTAATTGACAGACTTCCCAAACAATTTTGCTGAAAATTTTAAGGATAGAATGAGCAAGAGGAGAGCTCGGCGATGGTGTAAGAATTTTTCAGATCGGATGACTTTGGACGGTGGCCGATGGCGGAGGCGGCGGCGGGCGGCGGGCGGCGTCTAGTGAAGATTGGTAGCTGGAGATTCGCCTCTGCGAGAGGATTCTGATGGTAGCCCTCATGGATCGTCGGAAAAATGCATTTGAATGTCCGATTTTGACCAAACTTTCTGGAAACTTTGAATCGCGGAATTGACAACCTTCCCAGAGGAATTTTTGTATGAAATTTTAAGGGGAGATTCACCTCAAGGAGATCTCACCAATGACGTAAACAATTTTCCAATTGGAGCATGTTTTCAGACGGCCGACAGCGGAGGTGGCGGCCGACGGTGGCGGCGTCCGGTGGAGGTGAAGGAGCTTGCTGGAAAATTTTTGATTTTTTTCGATTGGAACTCCGTTTGGCTTTTTGAACGTGTCCTACGGACAACGCCAATAATAGTGAAATGGATTTCACCCGGGCTCCTTCAACTCGAACGGCCTCCGTATCTGCAAGAACACAACGCCGGGAAGGGTCCCGACGTCGGGCCTCCGATGCCTAAGTCAGTACTCGTAATTTGGAGTGTAGCAATGAATGAATAGAATGAGTTAATGAGATGCCTTAGCCCCCTTTTATAGGGGGAGTGTACCTTTTGAGCCCAAATTCGGCTTGGCTCACACCATTATGCTATATGTCTTAGCCCATTTGTGGACTTATTCTCCAATATATTTCTTCTTCTCCATTAACGTTGGTCTACTATAATATCCTATATCAATATATATTAAATTTAATATATAAATAATTTGTACATATAAATTACTTTGTATTTTTTTTTAATTTTTCGCGGTTTTTAGTTTTTGTTAATTAAAAAATGTTGAAATAATAAAAATACATTTGAATAATTTCATATATATTATTATATATTTTATTATAAATTAAAAAAACTAATAAGTAAAAAATATTAATATATATTTTATCATTAATGAAAAATTGAGTAATTAATATATATATGTATATATATATATATATATATTACATTTATATGTATTGATAATTTGTGTATATTAATAAGTTTGTATATATATTTATTTTTTTCGCGCTTTCTTTTTCATCTTTAAAAATGTGTAAATATTAAAAATGAATTTAAATAATTTCATATATATTATTATATATTTTATAAAAAATTAAAAATAATTAATAATTAGTATTGATTAATAATTAAAATATATTAGTAATTTAAATTAATATATAAATAGTTATATATATTAATAACATCAAATATATTATTATATATTCATATATATGAATATATATTAAGATATTAATAAAACTAATATATATTTTATATTAATATACAATAATAAAGTTAATATATTATATTATATTATATATTAGTATAATTATTTTAAATTATGATAGTATAAAATATAATTAATTATAATAGATAAAAAGTATATTAAAATAAATTATATTAGTATAAAAAAATATATTACTAATTAGTATAATAATTATAAATTATAATAGTATAAGATATAATTAATTATCTTATAAAAT